ATGTCTAAACACAATTTTTTGTGCTCAGCACCCATTTTTTTTTTTTTGATAGATACAATGACTTCACCACAAATGTTTTGATTTTATTTACATGTCCCAATTCCACAAAAACACCAAAAACATTTCATAGATGTCCAATAATTTACTAACAACATATCTTAGAGGTCCAATAATTTACTAACAACATTTCTTAGATGTCCAATAAATCACCATCAACATTTTACAGATGTCCAAAAATCATCAAAATCCCCAACAACATTTTACAGATGTCCCCAAATCAGCTAAACCACCATCAACATTTTACAGATGTCCAAAAATCATCAAAATCCCCAACAACATTTTACAGATGTCTAAAATCAGCAACCCCCCCCCCCCCAACATTCATAGATGTCCAAAAATCAGCACCCCCCCCCCTTCCCCCCAACATTCATAGATGTCCAAAATCAGCAACCCCCTCCCCCAACATTCATAGATGTCCAAAAATCAGCAAAACCCCCATAACATTTCCTAGATGTACAAATTTCACCAAAAACTACCAATAACATTTTACTGATGTCCCCAAATCAGCAAAACCACCATCAACATTTTACAGATGTCCAAAAATCATCAAAATCCCCAACATCTTTTCATAGATGTCCCCAAATCAGCAACCCCCCTCCCCCAATATTCATAGATGTCCAAAAATCAACAAAACCCCCCATAACATTTCATAGATGTACAAATTTCACCAAACACTACCAATAACATTTTACAGATATCTCCAAATCAGCACAATTACCAACAACATTTTACAGTTGTCCCCAAATCAGCACAATTACCAAAAACATTTCATAGATGTACAAAACTAAGCAACCCCTCCCCCCCCCCCCCCCCACCCACACACACACAACATTTCATAGATGTAAAACAAAATCATCAAAAACTACCAACAACATTTTACAGATGTCCAGAATCAGCATAACCACCAACAACATTTTACAAATGTCCCCAAATCAGCAAAACTACCAACAACATGTCATAGATGTCCAAAAATCAGCAAAAACTACCAACAGCATTTCATAGAATTTTGATTTATAGTACATGAAGAGGATAACAGGAATCACTAAGAATTTGTGTGTTTCTGGGGAAAATAATTGTTTTTTTTGCTTTGTGATAGAATACTCCACACTACAAATTAGCGGGAGTATAAAGTTTTTGACCACTCCATCTGTCTGTCATGTAACACAATATTACTGTCTGAAATCATACCTTCAAAAAGTAAACAGAAAAACTATGCCGTCAGGTCAATATAAGCTTTTCTCCTTCATATTGGAGAAGGTATGTCAGGTTGGTCTCTAAAGGTTCTTTTTAACAGTTTTGTGTTTAAATTTCCATGGAAATAAATCTTAATTTAACCGTTGCCACTATCTTTTTTACACTACACTTCAAAGTAGCAGAGGTACATAGTTTATGACCTGTCTATCAGACTGTCATTCTGTCTGTCAGTGTGACATTCAGCTATTTTCGTTGTTGAAGGCTAATACTACACATCAGATTACAACCATACTAGAATATATGGTCATACATAATGGAAGGAAGATCACTATTGATTTTGAGGTATACTACATCGAAGTTAAAGGTCAAAGTTACTAGAAATAGACTAAAATTTGAATAGAAATGTGGTATCCAGATGCAAATACATACTATATATGGGATGCATTGTTATCTTACTTGGATATATAATCACATACAATAAGAGGAAGATCCCTTTTTGATTTTTAGGTCATAAATTCAAACATCCAAGGTCAAGGTCATTGTTATAAAAAATACTACTCTCTGAAACCATAACCAAAAAGAATCATATCTTAAAGTAGATAGAAAAAACTGCCATCAGGTCAATTTTAGCTTTTCCCCTTTATGTGGGGAGTATAGGTTACGTTAACTTGCTCATTAAAGGTCAGTTAATTGTCCCTGTCATCAGGCTAATGTAAGCTTTTCTCCTTTATATGGGGAGTGTGGGGTATGTAAGCTTGCTCCTTAAAGGTCAGTTAATTTTCCCTGCAATCATGTCAATATAAGCTTTTCCCCCCTTATATGGGGAGCACAGGGTATGTAAGCTTGCTCCTTAAAGGTCAGTTAATTTTCCCAGCTCCATTATTTGTTGTTTGGTAAACTGAATTAAAGGTAGTAAAATCTAAACCTCAGTTTCAGCTGGTTAATATAACAATAAGAAGGAGTGGTATGATTGCCAATGAGACAACTCTCCACAAGAGATAGGTCACCGTACGGCCTTCAACAATGGGTAAAAAACAAACCTCATAGTCAGCTATAAAAGGCCCCAAGATGACAAATGTAAAACTATTCAAATGAGAAAACTAACGGCCTGATATATGTACAAAATAATGAACAAAAAACAAACATGATATACAGCAACAAAAAAAACCACTAAATTACAGGCTCCTGACTTAGGATAGGCACATACAGAATGTGGCGGGGTTAAACATGTTAGCGGGCGCCCAACCCTCCCCCTAACCTGGGACAGTGGTGTAACGGTACAACATATGAACAAACTATAAAAATCAGTTGAAAAGGGCTTAACTCATCAGATAGATACAAAGCAGAAACAAGTAACAAAAACACTTGACGTGGCAGGGTACTTTTACGTCCCAACAACAAAAAGACACTAAGTACAGATCTGAGAGTACTAACAGTTACTGACAGCTAGTTCAAAGCCAGTAACAACTAATAAAAAAATCATGCATCTAAGACTAAAATATATGTTATTTAAAAGTGTTTTTCAGTTTGATTTTGTCAGTTTTTATGGAATTCCCCTTTTTCAAAATGGCTTGGAGTTTGGTATTTTTGTTATAATTTTTTTCATAAGCATTTAAATTAACTTTTTTCAAGTTTGCATTTTAGACTCATTAGCCATTTATTACTAATACAGCAACATGAAAGACAAAATGATGGAAGTGAGATAAAGAAATTACAGAATTTATTTCCATAGAAACAAAACTGATATTTTGGGGGTAAATTTGAAAGAAGTACTATACTGCAGGTTTCAACTATAATATTCCTGCAATTATAAATTTTGGAAATTTGATTTGAGAGGAAATATCATGTCTCTATTTTTACAAAAATATAACGTTTTCAAGTTCATTGTAGACAATTATGTAATTAAAACTGCAATTAGAACATAGGAGAGGAAATTGAATCAAAGTTTATACAAATGAATGGTCCAGATATATTGTTTACGAATGGGTTTTTCATGAGAAAAAGCAAGGTTATCTTTAAAAAAGATGAACTTTATATGTTGATATTTTCACAATAATTGGTGCGTGAACTTTGCTTGTTATGGATTCAAGCCCTCAGTGATAAAGTGAGCTGTTCACATAGGTATTGTTTATTTCTGCAAATTACTTTAGGGGAATCTCTGTGCGTTAAATAGGATCATGAAATAAATGAAAATCTCCCCCTTTTCCTAAATTTATAGTTTTACAGTAATGTCTGGGGTTAACACTATTCTACAAACTTTAGCAACAGTACTGTTAGTTTTTTTGTGCTTTGTATCGATCTGATAAGTTAAGCCCTTTTCAACTGATTTTTATATTTTGTTCTTAATGTTGTACTGTCACACCACTGTCCCAGGTTTGGGGGATGGTTTGGTGCCAGAACACATGTTTAAACCAACCACTTTCTGTATGTGCCTGTCCCCAGCCAAAAGCCTGTATTTCAGTGGTTGTCGTTTGTTGCTATATATCATATTTGTTTTTCTTGTATTATTTTTCACATAAATCATGCCATTATTTTTCTCATTTGAATTGTTTTACAAATGTCATATCCGGGCCATTTATACCTTACTATGCGGTATGTGTTTTGCTCATTGTTGAAGGCCATATGGTGAACTATAGTTGTTAACTTCTGGTCTCTGTTGGAGAGTTGTCTCATAGGCAATCATACCACATCTTCTTATTTTCATATACAGTGAAATATCTGTCTAAAACAAACCATGATTAAACTAGAAACTTGTCTAAACAAACCCTGACTACATCAGAGACCTGTGTTAGTCAAATCCTCAATAAACTGGAAACTTGTCTAAAACAAATCCAAACTAAATCAGAGACCTGTCTTAAACAAACCCTCAATAAAATGGAAACCTGTCTAAAACAAACCCTGACTAAAGCAGAAACCTGTGTAAGTCAAACCTTCAATAAACTGGAAACCTGTCTAAAACAAACCCTGACTTAATCAGAGACCTGTCTCAAAAAAACCCTCAATAAAATGGAAACCTGTCTCAAACAATCCCTGACTAAATCAGAGACCTGTCTCAAACAAACCCTCAACAAAATGGAAACATGTCTAAAACAAACCCTGACTAAAGCAGAAACCTGTGTAAGTCAAACCCTCAATAAACTGGGAACCTGTCTAAAACAAACCCTGACTAAATCAGAGACCTGTCTCAAACAAATCCTCAACAAAATGGTAACCTGTCTAAAACAAACCCTGACCAAAGCAGAAACCTGTGTAAGTCAAACCCTCAATAAACTGGAAACCTGTCTAAAACAAACCCTGACTAAATCAGAGACCTGTCTCAAACAAACCCTCAACAAAATGGAATCCTGTCTCAAACAAACCCTCAACAAAATGGAATCCTGTCTAAAACAAACCCTGACTAAAGCAGAAACCTGTGCAAGTCGAACCCTCAATAAACTGGAAACCAGTCTAAAACAAACCCTGACTAAATTAGAAACCACAGTTTGTCATTTGTTTGTTTTTTTTTTGCTATCTATTCTCTTATTGATGCTTACCCCACATCTCCATTAATTTATTTATACTTTCTTTTTAAGTAATCTTTACATTGTTCTTACTCTCTGATAAAATGTATATAAAAACTTGCTGTTCATATCAATGTTTGCTTGCATCCACATCATTAGGCCTCTTGTTGATGGTTGGCTCATTGGCAATTGTACCCATCTAATGCTATATGTGACAACTTTATTGAAAATGCATTGTTTTTTAAGTTCATTGAGGTATGGTTACATTGAAGGAAGAATAGAAAATGATGAAATCTGGTGATGTAGTCAGCAATATTCAGAATGGTAGAGAACTGAAGGTTTAACCGCTTTTGGAGAGCATATGACCAAAATATGGAAGGAAAAAGAAAAAAATGAAGAAAAAAGGTGGTGAAGTTTGCTGATTGGAAATCAAAATGGTGGAAAACCTGAAGATTTCCTACCTTAGGAGTGATAATGACCTTGGTAAGTGATAATGACCTTGGTAAGTGATAATGACCTTGGTAAATGAAGGTTCTGAGAATAAATAAAAAAAACTTAATATGGGTAAAATCATCAACAAACCAGTGTGGCTGGGAAATTTAAATGGAGAGTTATGTAGGTTTCCGGCTGTGTAAAGTATGATTAAACAAAACAGGAGACAAATGTCTGCCCATAAGTAACTAATATCCAATACAAAGACTGAATGGACATGTAGGATATCTGTCGGGTTTCCATTTTATTTTAAAAACTTTATTTCCTGCAGAAATTAACAAAAACTAAAAATACAAAAGAATTTGTGAAAAAAAATTTCATCTTTTTTTGTGTCATGCGATTAAAATGATTTTCTCTTTTGTTTATATGAAATTATAGTAGATATTTCTGTAATGAAAGCTGGACGGAAGTAAATTATCTATTAGCGGTATTTTCCTCTGGTCATTTTCTTCCCTATCTGATTACAGTGATAAGATAAATTATAAATCACTGAATTTTTTTTTTTAAAATAAGAAACTTCTTTGTGACCTCTTTCGACGAATTATTCTTCCGTTTCAGTGCAGTTAGAAATTGCTGGTTTATTCGATTATATTCTTAAACCATGCAACCCTGTATTTTCATGCTTTTTCATTAAAGATCGTCAAACATATTAATTATTTCTCAAAATTAAATATCAAACAACTTGTACCACGACTGGTGGTTTCCGAGTTTTTAATGTTAAGATTATTAAGAAAACATCATATTCGATAATTTTTTACTGCCAACGATTCCTTGTCATGATATTTCAGCTTGTACAACCCTCACAGGTTCACACCTGACTTATTAATCTGTTAAATAAGCATTTATTTAGAAGAGAATTAATTGAAATTTATAGTAATTTTCAGATAATTTTTGTTAATCATATAATTATTTTCAGCTTGATTTTCGATTGCTTTTTTCATCACAGGAAGTTAACAAGGTACTTTTGACCATTATATTCAGGAATAAGTTATTAGAAAATTCTTTGGTTTTGGTCTTTTTATAGAACTAATTTTGATTAGTATGCAGATCTATGAAAAAATAATCATAAATGGTAAAAAAAATTAATTTGGACCATTTACCTTACAGACGAAAAAAGCTGAATTAGTTTAAACTAGTAATACCAGTCTATGTGCAAAAATTAATGGTAAAAAAATGGATAGAGGTTAACAAAAAGGTAATAAAAATACACTTAGAAAGACAAACATCACCATGGCCAAAGGAAACGAAATTAACAGACCAATACTCCAGAAAACAAAAGACGGATCAACATAAACTTCATTAAAAAATAAGGAGGAGGGAAGGGAGAGAACTCATTATAAGTCCAGGGAGGTCAGCAGCTTTTTGCTCCAGTAGTCAGACATTCCTCATTGTGCTACTTCTGCTTTAAGCCATGGATGAAACCTATCCATTGAAAAGGTATTGCACAGTAACATTGAAATTAATAGTAATTGTCAGATAATGTTTTTAATCGGGATACAATTATTTTCAGTTATATTTTCCATTGTTTTTTTTTAATCACAGGAAGTTAACAAGGTACTTTTGACCATTATATTTTTACAGTACTAGTTTTTATTAGTATGCTGATATATTGAAATAATACCCATAAATTTTGGTAAAATAATTAAGTTTGGGTCATTTTACATTACAGATGAAAAAAATGAATTTTTCGCAGCTATTGATGATAGTCTATGTAGAGAAATTAGAATTATATATTTAATTGTAAAATATAGGGGTAGAAGATACAAAGAGGCAATCAAAAATGGCCAAGAAAAACATGCATCATTATATGGTCATAATAAAAATTAACAAACAAATGTTACACAGAAAACTAAAAAATTGAGCAACACAAACTGCACGAAAAACTTTGGCGAGAACATTCATGATTCGGGATTCTTCTGTACACATAAGACTGGTATCCCACAAATGATAGTGATTCCATTGTATAAATTTAGTATTAGCAAAATGGGACATTTACTGAATCTCCATTGGCAAATAGTTCATGCATATTCAGGTAGGTTCTGTAGAGCTGTGATCAAGGGCACTGATTTGGACTGTCACTAGAAAATGAGGGTATGATAGTAAGGGACAGAGATTTTATTTTAATTTATTTTAATATGTCACAGATATGGACCCTTCATTTATTGCAAGGGGTCCTTTATGTGCAGGAACATGGCACTTTTCCAAAAGGAGAATACAATTATATTAAGATTCCAATTAAGCCAGGAAAAATTACTGAGTATTTATAAATCCTATTCAGTCCAAGGGATGCCAAAATTCTGATTTTATAGAACTTGAAAAAAGACTATAAAAGATTTATCATCAGCACAAGAGTGCCGATAGGGGAGTGGGAGGTGCTGACTTTTCTGGAGCACCTGAGGTCACTCATAGTTGTTTGTTAGGCCAAACTAGCAAATTTAGGAACAACGAATAACAAATTTATGTATAGGCTTGTATGCAAATTTATACAAAAATTCTGGAAAAAACAATTTTTCTTCATTTCATGGAATTTGGTATCCCTGAAAATAAATGGATACACAGTTCATTCATGTTTTCTCTAGTTGGTATGGTCATCTCTTGCTGAATACCTGGACAGTCAATTAAAACACTGATGACATTATAAGTGACATTATTATATTTTTCGAAGTATTATCTGTGGATTTATTTATTTTTGTGGATACTAATTTAGTGGATTGGGGAAAAATTGTATGTTTGTGGAAAATTTATTTTGTTGTCCATGCAGTCCTATAGAAAATGTGTCTTTCGTTGGACATTTAAAATCATGGTTACTTATACCCATGAAATCCATGAGAATTGATATTCCACCATACCCAAGAAATCCATAAGAATTGATATTCCACCATACCCAAGAAATCCATGAGAATTGATATTCCATCTTACTAAAAAAATCCATGAGATTTGATATTCCACTTTACCCAAGAAATCTATGAGAATTGATATTCCACCATACCCAAGAAATCCATGATAATTGATATTCCACTATACCCATGAAATCCATGAGAATTGATATTCCACCATACCCAAGAAATCCATGATAATTGATATTCTACTTTACCCATGAAATCCATGAGAATTGATATTCCACCATACCCAAGAAATCCATGAGAATTGATATTCCACCATACCCAAGAAATCCATGATAATTGATATTCCACTATACCCATGAAATCCATGAGAATTGATATTCCACTATACCCATGAAATCCATGAGAATTGATATTCCACCATACCCAAGAAATCCATGATAATTGATATTCCACTATACCCATGAAATTCATGAGAATTGATATTCCACCATACCCATGAAATCCATGATAATTGATATTCCACTATACCCATGAAATCCATGAGAATTGATATTCCACGAATGATAATGAATCCAGAGTATAAGTCAAAAGATTCTACAATCAAATATGCACTAACTTTCTGGCAAGCTTGAATAATATCCAAAAAAATGCATTCTTTTATCTTGCTTACTAAAAGTTTGGCAATCATTAACTACCAGTAGTATGTAGCAGGCATGAATGATAGCTGAAAAATGCTTTATGTAAAATTGAGAATGGAAATGGGGAATGTGTCAAAGAGAAAACAACCCGACCAAAGAACAGAAAACAGCCGAAGGCCACCAATGGGTCTTCCAACGCAGAGAGAAAATCCTGCACCCAGAGGAGGGCTTCAGCTGGCCCCAAACAATAATGTATATAGATATAAGAAGATGTGGTATGAGTGCCAATGAGACAACTCTCCATCATACTTAAGTTCAGTGTATATATGTAGTTTATATGTAGTTTATTTGTAGTTTGCTGGCAGAAGTTCCACAATCATCAGCTAGCATTGTGCAACTAAATATTTAAGAAGTTCATTTGCATCATGCTTGCTTGCCTGGCACAAGCTTGGTAAAAGTATACTACTGTGTAGCAGTGCCTCCCTTGACTAAGTTGATATGCATAACATTTCCCCATTAGCTGTGTAAGTGGAGTACTCCTTTAGCTCAGTTGGTAGAGCGGTAGCTAACTGTACCAGGAGTCCCAACTTTAAACCCTGGTTGGTACAGTTGTAATTTTGGAAGGAAAATCAGGCTCCAGTGTTTCACTGCAAATAAGGAGTTTGGTTTTGGATAGGACTCTTTACTATATTTTATACAGATTCTAGCTACCTTGAAATTTTTCTTTAATGTATTGGAGGGAAATATTAAGTTCAAAAATTATTGTAAATTACTTTATAAAGATAATTTCTTTTGTTTCTGTTATTTTTTAGTATTTAAGCTTCCATCTGAATATATATGCATATTAAAGCAAAAAAGTATATAAAAGCAAATTGGAAAGAAAGTGCATCTTATGATGACTTTTTGAAGAGGTTTATTATATGATTAAACATGATGTTATATAGCATTTTATCTTTGTATCTTTTCTTTTTCTAGGTGAGAGAGGAAGATGGAATAAGGAGGAGGGATATCCATTCCAGAAGTCTATATAGTTATTATAAAGTGAGTCATTTAACTTTTTTTAACAAAATATCGGAAGTATCGCCTGTTTCTCTATTCCATTTTCACACCATTATTTGTAACAAAAGGATTCACCGTTTTTCATGAGAGTGAGAAAAAGTGGTGGTTAATTTAGAGATTTACTAGGTTTTTACAAAAGATCCAATATTTTGGAAGTTAAATTTAATCTTTTTAACATCTAGTTTTATAGGTTTAATATAATGTTGTCTATTTTGTGTGTAAACAGCTTAAAAGCTTATGAATAAATTAGCACATTGTGGTTTTCATTTTCTAGGGTCCCTGTTATCCAGTAACGTTTTAGATAATTTAACATTTATGATTGTGAAAATTTTATAAGGTGGCAGCATGAATCAGTTTAGATACTGGATCTAAGTGTTATCCGAAGACTTTTGTTAATTCATTGTTGAAATTTAAATGAAATTTGCATAAAATTTTCTTTTATCATATTAAATAATACCGTAAGAGAAACATATTTGTTTTATACCAATAATTTGAATACATAAGCTGAATTTTAATTAGAGATTTGCGACTAAACATGAAATTTACTGGTACAGTCACGCTAAAAACAATTAAATATGATACAAAAGTTACTAAACGTTTATCAAGCGTGTTCCGTGTCAATGCATGTTAAAGATAAAAGCCATCATAATTCTGAAATGATTTGAAACTTTGTATCGAAACCGTCCCCTACTGAGAAATTTGTTATCATTACGATCCTATAGTTCTTATTAACCAGTGTGAAAATAAGCCAAGCAAAACACACTATTCTCTATAAGATTTTCCGTTAAAGTATTCAGCGAAGATGACATTTGTCTTTGTTTTGTAGGCGGGCACTCACATTGACGAAATTGTAACATTTGAATTGTATCTTTAACTCAAGTTATTTCTAATGAACAATGAATTTGGGATCAGATTACAGAAAAAATCTTGTCCCGTTCAATTGTTTAAAGTTGATTACAACAAAAGCTGAAAAAATTCCATTCAACTGTAAAATCTCTTTATCTGGTGTATAAAATTTTAATTTGAAATAAAAGTTATCATTTCTAAATGTAAATTTGTTGTAGAAAGTTGTCCATCATGGCAAGCAGATGTAACTCAGCATCGGACAGTGATCATATTGTTCAACAGGAAGAAACAACAAGTAAGTCACATGACTAATAGAAGTGAAATTATTGGACAATTTGAACTTTCTGTTTTAACTTTCACCCATTCAACTGTAAAGGAAAGTAAAAGGGGTGGGACTTATGAATATTATTGCTTTTTTATTGAAGGATAATGCAAACTGGGCAATACTATATTATTATTAATTCAATTAATTATACAAAATTTAGATAAAATGAATTAATAAGATATTTCAAATACAAATGATTTTTTGTTAAATTCATTGAAATAAGTAATTATAAAAAATGTCAGAGATTATTTATCATGTTTATGAATAAACTGGAGATAAGGTTAATTTGGTCAATTTTAAATGTGTGGGAATTATTTATTTTTTATTAAGAATGCATCCTAACCCAAAATCCTAAATTGTGAATGAGGTAAAAAAAAATGGTAGCATTGTGAAAAAAGGAAAGATAGTCAACTGTTGAAATATCAGTCAGGCAAATATGGTAGCTTATTGAGTATTCAAATAACTTTTTATGATACAAATATCACAAATACAAAATGAGAGGAGAATAGCAAAAATTCTCTCTTCATTTTTTTTCACTAGCTCACGTATGATTGTATTGTACTTTAGTGGTGAATTATAGCTTTGACTGATGACATACTTCACAATGAAATACTTTTATATTTGGGGGAATATCACTTAATTTTAAAAATTAAGATATTAAAGGAACCAGATGCAATATTAAAAAATTGAGATTAAAAACTTGATTTTTTTTTTAAAACATTAGAAGATTCAGATTCATTGAATATATTACCAACCAAAATGTTTCTGGTTTTGGTGATGTAAGATGCCATTGGAAAGACACAAAAATATCCATTTTTCTCAAAATACAGATGCAATTATATTATTAAATTCAGAAGTTTGTAGTAATGCATATAAGAAATAATTAAGAAAAAAGCTCCAACTAATTTCAAACATTTTCCGGTTGCCTATATTTGCCAATTCTGGGAAATTTCTTTAAAAAAGATACGAGAAATGTTTTTGTAAAGATCCTTTTCTTGTAACCTTGGAACTATTATTTTTGTAAACATTGTGTTCTGCATCCATTAAGATTCCAAAAGATATACTTGTAATTGTAAACAAAAAGGTAATTCTGAAGTAAAAGTTTTCAATTTCAACAAAAGGATGTCATTTTTTATAAAAATTCTTGTCGCTAATGGGAAAAAATATGACCTTTATTGTATCTTCTTTATTGAACTTTTACCAATTTGAAAGAACCGTCTGCAGAAAAGTGTTACGGATAAATGAAATTGATACTATTGGGAATTGTATGATTTGAAAAATGTTTGAAATCAAAGATGGCATCTATAGTGAAACTAGGACATAAAAATACCAGTCTTTTGTTTTTGTATTTACCCGGTAGAATTTGAGGTACACTCAGGTGTAAAAGAATCGTTAAATTTCATCAAGATGTAATGTTGACAGTTAGATGGAGATAGAGATGCTCCTGAGAGAATAAGATAGACAGGCTTTTAAGGTGTTTTCATAGCACGTAATTTATTACGTTTTTACCTGAGTGTTAAATTGAAAACAAAATCATTTCAACTCTTTTCTCTCAGTTCTTTGGTATTCATTTGCATAGTATTTTGTTTCTATTTCTAAAACATTTTGTTGCGGACGGTTTCCGTTTACAGTCATTATTACATTTGCTATTACTTGCAAATTGCATGGTGCTGTATCGGTAAATCACTGGTAAAGACATAATATTCCCTTTGGAATCCAAAGTCTTTTAAAATTCACCTGTATCTTGAACATTTAAATGGACGGATCACATTCAACACTTTTCACTTTTTATGAGCAAATAAATACTAAGTGATACAGTTTCTAATTTCAAGATAGAGAAATAGAATTTTCGTAAAGTCCAATGAATCTTTTGACAAACAAACCTGATCTTTCTTTCAGTGTTTTCTTATTCTGTGTCTGAAAGAGGATACATGACTTGAGATGTTGATGAAAGTGATATACTAGGGGGAATTATCTTGATAAGTTTTAAGTAACCTCCAACAAAAGATGAAAATTCTTTTTAACAATTGTTCAGTTTATATTTTTATAATACTTTGTTCTCAGACTTTACAATTTAGTGATCAATTTTTCAAGCTGATTTCATCGTTTTGTTTTCTGCAAGGTATTTATTTTTTTTTTTAAAGTTTTTTTTTCTTTGTTTCAATTTGGGTTTGTTTTGAATTTTTTGTTTTGTATTGTCTTTTTTGTATGAGAACAGAAGAATGTATGAGAACAGAAGGAATTTTAGAGCTTGCTATATTATAACAATGCTTTTCCGTAGTTGAATACCTAATTTTCGTGAATTTGGTGGGTACAGACTAACCACCAATTTAAATGTTCAATGAAGTACAAATTTTCTATAGGCTTGTATGCAGACCTTTGTAAAACCATAAAATTAAATGTCCACGAAAACAAAATGTTTCCTTAATCCCTAAAAATTGGTACCAACAAAAATAAATGTTGACATGTGTTGAAGGCCGTACTTTGACCTATAATTGTTTACTTTTTGCGACTTGGATGGATAGTTGCCTCATTGGCACTCATACCACATCTTCTTATTTATATAATGTTCTTCTTCTGTTTTATTTTCAAAGAGACTATTACAGCAATAGTCTTTCAAAGTTATATCCATGGCTTGGATAGAAAACTGGGATTTTATTTGGGTAGTTTAAATGACATAGTTTATTTTTTATGACAATTATGACAATTATTATATATATGTTATTGTTTTCTGAGTTGGAAATGGACTTCCATTAACTTAGTTTTCTAGACAAGAATTTTTATGGCCTTGCAAAACATTTATAACAAGAGCTGGTTTCACTACAGAATTTAATATTAAGACATTCAAATCTAATTAACCTTTTCTCTTCTCTCTTTCAAGTGGGAAAATTAATTACTTTTTACATCTTTTCATTAGGAAGGGAACAATAGTTGCTCTTGATAATAAATTTTGTACAAAGGCTGTGTCATCTGATGTATTATCATCAATATATGCATGGATCATATTTACGCAGTTTAACGCAATCCCTTTTGACGTTAAATATGTTTGACTAACGTAGAAATTGGATATGTTGCATTGAGGAGTTAATTATTTATCTAAAGTTTTGGTTTCGTTTTTTACCGTTGGCTGTGAAAAGAGGTTTTGACCTTATTTAATTTTTGAAGGCACCCGAGTAATGTTTCTTTTTAAATTATTCAGCCTCTGGGCCCAGTTGTAACACGTGTTAGAATTTAAATTGAAAAATAAAAGTATTTAGTTACGATTTTGGGCCAATTAACACTTGGTGCTGGATGCAACATGTCGCAAGTTTTTTCGACACAGCCAATAATTAGATATAGACATTACATGGTAATTGGAGCAAGCATAAATCAAATATGCTAATTATTGTAACAACAAAACTCTAGAATTAACGAAAAATAAGTAGTTAAAACTTGTTACTAAAAAAGTTTCATCTTCAATGCTGCTGTCTTCTCTTGATTCAAAATTTATCATTCTAAAAATTCAGCAATTACTGCGACATTTTTATTAATGCAAATAATGCTACAGGGTGAGTATCGCAATAAAAAGATTCAGATTCTCAGGTATCAGATACATAAATCTGTATGCAGCTTTTCCAAAATAGCAATAATAAATCTCGCATTTTTATTGGTTCATAAACTAATCGCAATAATAAATGCATGTTATAATTTCCGAATTTACAGTACTTCATTCAGAAAATATTCTTTTGAGTCAGCTACAATGCAAAAGTTCGTTCTGAACATGCATGAAATATTTGCCACTGGACATTAAGTAACCAACGATCAATCAATCAACAATGCAAAAGTAATAAATACACAAGACAAATAGAGGTCAATATATAGGTCACAGATTCACCTTTCCATTTTATATCTGGCATTTGAAAGTTCATCCATTTGTTTTAAGCATGCAGTAACCTTTAATAAAATTGAGAATGGAAATGGGGAATGTGTCAAAGAGACAACAACCAGACCAAAGAGCAGAAAACAGCCAAAGGCCACCAATGGGTCTTCAACACAGCGAGAAAATCCCCCACCCAGAGGCGGGCTTCAGCTGGCCCCTAAATAAAAATGTGTACTGGTTCAGTGAAAATGGACATCACACTAAACTCCAAAACATATAAATGAACTTAATTTAAAAAACACACAAGACTAACAAAAGCCAGAGGCTCCTGACTTGGGACAGCACAAAAATTTAAGTTGGTTTATTGTATTCAGTAATTTCTACATTTCTAATCACTGGTATTTTGCTCTTTCAAACTCTTCCTTTGACCTAGCTTGTATTATTAGATTGCAGTTCCAATCAACCTCTTCTTTTACTCATATCATATTCACTCAAATAAGAAGTTGATGAACCACAAATATATGTATTTAACAGTATGTATAAAATAACAAAATTATCTTCAGAATATGAAAAAAGGCTAATTCATTGTACATTATGTTTGAAAAGTTAGATGAAGTAAAAGTTTTATTTTCACTCAAACCTGTAATTTTGTGAAAACTGAATAATTTAGGGTTAATATAAATTGGAGACTTTTAGTTGTATTCAAATTTTATTTGAATCATTTTAATAGTCCCAATTTTTCTACAACAGACTTGCAAATATTTTTATATATTAAAAGGACACTCATAAATTTCATTTGCTGATTAATTATTCATGTGACCTCCGTTCTAAAGTAGATCTGAAGGTCAGTCAAAGTAACGTTCACGTAAAGCTGCACGTAACTTTTAATTGTCCTTGAGCTTCATAATATGATTTCATTTGATAAAGGGAGGACAATTATACGACATCATCGTTTCTGTTTATCTTGGCAAGGGGTACTCCGAGAAGATATTCGTATGCTAATCTTCAGTCTAAAATAACAAAATCCTCTTCAAATTTCATTTAATGATATTTCTTGTTGATGAAAAGTGCAAGAAAAACTTACTGCTTTGTAATACATATATATGGTCAT